ACATTAGTTAAGTACTTGGGTCCTTTTTACCCATGTGGGACACCCAGATGGAGTTTCTGGCTCCTGATTTCAGCCTGGTCTAGTATGAGCAGGCATTTGGGGAATAAACCAGTGGATTGAACATCTTTTTCTCTCTGTCTCTATCTTTCAAATAAAATGAAAATCAATAAATCAACATTTTAAAACAAACTTTCCTACAGCTGCATACTGTAAATAGAATGGCCTGAGTCAGAATGCAGTTGTTAACACGTAGGGGCTTTTGGGCCCTCTGGATTACTCTTTCGTGTCTTTCCCCATTAGGCTCCATTGCCCTCTGCAATGGGGGTGCAGTCTTGCTCACTGTCACACAATTCTCTTTCCTTGGGGCAGGGACACAAAACTACACATAAATTTTCTGTATTTTTTTAGAGATTTGCCTTATATAAAGCTGGCTTATGAGCAAAATTACATTTTCTTGGAGGCTAACTTAAAATTGAATTTAACTATTGAACTGCGAAAATATATGAAGCAATTTTCCCTAGCAAACTAATTTGCTATTTTAGGCAAATTTTATTGAATCTACAGAGAAGACACTTTAAATAATGATGGCTTTAAAATACTCAAGAAACACGGATACTTATGTATATTTAGGTAGTGTACAGTGTAGGATATGAATACAAATATAAAATGACTGATTTAGTTTAAAAAACCAGAGGGGCAAAATATAGGCTATATTCCTATAACATAAAACACTAAGTTTTTGAAATGAAATTCATATAAGAATGATACTATAACAAGAGAAATAAATTGTCATGAAATAGAGTTGCACCTGCTTGCTCTCTGCATTTTACACAGTGGTCACGTTACTGGGACTGCTCTAGGAAGTGTCACTGGCTCCTGAGATGCATGATTGTATTCCTGTGTGTTCACACCATGTGAGAGGAGCACTCATTGCTATTTCAGTGTAAGGAGCTTCTTTCCCTCTTTCCAAGTTCTCATACGTCATGGAAAGAAAAGCACTTACTACAAAGTGGCTTGTAACGGAAAGATTTTCAAGTTCCCCATTGTGATTCTTTTGTATTTTTGCAGGGAAAGAGCCAGTGAAAATATCAAGTTTGCTTTGCTTTTTTTGTTTTCAATTTTGGATTAACATATAATAATTGTAGTGATTCTTTTGCATCTTTTAATCAACAGGCACTGGCATGCTGTTTTTCAACTTGATAACCACGTTATTTAAAAACAAATTTTGTTTTCTCCCTGATTCTAAAACAATAACTGTTCAAAGTGAAAAAGTTAGTATGCAGGGGGCTGGTGCTGTGGCGTAGCCTGCAAAGCCGCCTCCTATACTGCCAGCGTCCCATATGGGTGCTGGTTCGAGTCCTGGCAGGTCCTTTCGACCCTGCAGCTACCTGGGAGACCTGGAAGAAACTCCACACTCCTAGCTTCAGATAGGCCCAGCTCCGGCCATTTTGGCCATTTGAGGAGTGAACCAACAGATGGAAGACCTCTCTCTCTTTCTTTCTCTCTCTGCCTCTGACTCTCTAACTCTGCCTTTCAAATAAATAAACAAATCTTTTTTAAAAAACTTAATATGCTAAAAAATAAAAGTCACTCATATGTGTTGACCCAGAGCCCTTATCTATACATAGGCATATAATTTGTTTTTACCTATTTGGGATCATTCAATTTTGTATTTTATTTTTTCCATTTAACACTATAGAAGTTTTTTCATTTTTATTTTGTTTCTTCCTTCTTTCTCTTTTTCCTCTTGTTTCTTTCCCAGTACTTCTATGGACCCGTGGGTGTTAATTTATTCTCTGTGTTATTATAATTTACAATTATATTTTTAATAAAAAGATTAATTTATTTTATTCGAAATACAGAGTTAGAGAGAGAGATGGAAACCTTGTATCCACCAGTTCACTTTCCAGATAGCACAATGGCCTAGGATTGGGCCAGGCCAAAGCCAGAAGCCTGGAACTCACTCACTTCTCCCATGCTTGGGTAGCAGGGGCTCAAGCACTCAGGCCATCCTCCAGTGCCTGTATGGGTTGCCAGCATTGGAGGCAGTGGCTTAACCCACTCTGCCGTAACACCGGCCCCCAGTTGTATCCTTTGATACTAATATTGCCCCACATTTAGCTAGTAGAAGCCCTTGAAGCTAGCTGCTGTCATAAGATTCCATTGTTTTGTTTTTTAATTGTGGTAAAATACACATAACAAACTTTTCCATCTTAACCATTTAAAAGATAGATTTCAGTATGGGCAACCACCATTCTACATTTCTGCTTCCATAAAGTAGACTATTTCAATAATATTTCAGATATTTCATAGGTAGAATCACACAGTATTCATCTTTTTGTGACTGGCTTCTTTCACATAGCACATTATAATGTCCTCAAGGTTCATGTATACTATAGCATGTATCATAATTTCCTTTTTTGAGGCTGAATAATATTCTATCATTTGCATGTAGCACATTGTTTTTGTATTTGTCAATCAATGGACCTTGGGCTGGTTCCAGCCATTAGTTCCTGTGAAGAATGCTGCTGAGAACATGGGAGGACACGTATGTCTTCAAGAACCTGTTTTCAGTCGTTTTGGGTATATATCCCAAAGTGGAGCTGCTGGGTTGCAGGGGATTCTATTTTTATTTTTTTCAGAAAGCATCACACTGTTTTCCACAGCAGCTGTATTATTTCACTTTTCTACCAATAGTATACAGGCTTCCAATTACTGCACATTCTTGCCAATACTTGTTATTTTCTGTTCTCTTAATACTCATCTTGATTAGTCTTTGAACATTTCATTGCATCTGGCTCAAGCATGCTTAGTTTTTTCTCATGCAGACATGGAATCAGCAATTCCTCCAAGAAGCCCTGGTTTTTTGAGTGGAGATCGGAATTTAAAAACTAAGATGTATGCACTGATGTGCTCTTGTTTTTGTAGTAGCTTTGACACAATAATACAATATTGCTTCTAGGTTCTTTTAGTAAAGACTACTAAAATATCAATGTTTTTGAAAACTATGAATTCACACTGACATTTCCGATTCATATTTAACAACAGAAAGGGTTTTTCTTTTTTTCTTTTATAGTTGTACTTTTTTCTCACTTATTTCTTTTGTATCATATTATCTATTTAAAAGTTTCCAAATTTCATCACTAACCTTAGTGCTAACAATAAACATACTGAGATAAATTTCAGGATCCTTTGGTCCTTAGAGTCGAATGCTTAAATATATCCACTGAGGATGCTCAAAGTTCTAGAACACTTTTTCTTTTCTCTGCTTGGCTATGTTATCAACATAAACATTTGATTAATTAGATTTGTTTGACTTAGGATTTTGAACTATTGGACAGGTGATAATGGCATCTCTGTGGTTTTAATTTTTATTTATCTATTCTGAATAAGGTTGAAGACTGGAGGGCCCTTTATTTTTCTTTCTCTATCAACTTCCATTCATGTTTTTCTGCAAAAATCTTTTCTTACCAATTTTTGAGTGTTCTTTCTGTATTAGAGAGATTAAAGGCACAGATACCCACCACTCAGTTTGTTATTCGTATTTTGACTTTGCATAAGTATCTTGCCAAACACAACTTTTAAAAGTTTTTAATATAGTTGAATTATAAATCTTTTATAGCTTATAGATTTTTAAATCATATAAAAGCTTTTTCTTAGGATTTGTATTTTATTTTTACTTTTTAAAATATTTATTTGTTTACTTGAGAGGCAGAGTTACAGAGAGGGAGGAAGGGAGAGACGTAGAGAGAGGTCTTCTATCCGCTGATACGCTCCCTAAATGGCCACAATGGCCAGAGCTGGGCAGATCAGAAGCTGGGATCCAGGAGCTTCTTCCTGGTCTCCTACATGTGTGCAGGAGTTCAAGCACGTGGGCCATATATTACTGCTTTCCCAAACCATCAGCAGGGAGCCAGATCTGAAGTGGCATAGTTGGGACACCAACCGGAGCCCATATGGGATACTGGCACTGCAGGCAGATGCTTAACCCACTATGCCACAGTGCTGGCCCCATATTTTTATTTTTATAAAGCCAAAATAGTCTATTATTTAATAATTTCCAAGTTATTGGATATTAGTCTCCTATAAATTTTGTTATAAATGTAATTTAAGATTGACTTTTTTATTTTTAAGATTTATTTATTTGAAAGGGTTACAGAGAGAGGGGGAAACAGAGCTTCCATCTGTTGGTGCATTCCTCAAAGGATTGTAATGGCCAAGACGAGGACAAACTGGAGCCAGGAGGTTCCTCTGGGTCTGCCTGGTGGGTGGCAGGGCCCCAAACACTTGAGTCATCTCCTGCTAGTTGCTACAGCCACTGCTGTCCTCATGTCCTGTTAGGGCAGTTTCTACCACCTCTTTGTCATCTCTCGGGGTAGTAAGGCCACATCTGAGCTCTGCTTCCATGACATTGCTGTACCTTTCCTTGTCAAATTCGTAAAGCTCCTGTAGGTAGCCCTCATGTGGTCCTTGGTCCTGATTCTTGGCCACTGCTTAGAGCTTGCACAGGCAAGTCAATGTGACATATTTGTAAACAAATATCTATTAACTTTTCCTGTAATTTCCTCCATTAAAAGACATGACATTATTTAAATTTGCCATGTTACTAAATCATTTCCAAAATGGTAACAATTTACACTCTCACCAACAGTTCTTACCACACTCACAGTAAGACTGTTCGAATTTGATACATTAAACATCTCTTTATTTTTTATTACCTTTTATAATCCTAAAGAATAATACTTTCCTGATTCACAGCCTTTGCAAACTTAAAAATTGGAAATGTAGTGTTTGTTTGAATGATCTCATTGCATAAGAAAGAAAAAAGTGAGTTTTATGAACAGGAATCAGAAAAAGCAGAGGGTTGGAAAGTAAAGTATGTTTTGTAGCTCAAGAAAAACAGAACTATAGAGAAAGCTGAGTGCTGTTCAGTGCTTTAGCTTGGCAGGTGTGGCGTGACAATCAGGGCTTCCTCTCACGAGCCATCACTTGCATTGCAGGCTCCCAGGGACCTTAGCCAGGCTGGATCTAAAAGGCAACGCCATCCGGGATATTGCTGAGCGGGGCCTCAAGGACCTCAAGCAGCTTCAGGTGCTAAACCTGAGGAACAATAAGATCTCTGCCTTAGACCTCAAAGCCTTGGAGGGGCTGCCTCGCCTCAGGCACCTGTACCTGGATGGAAACCCCTGGAATTGTACCTGCAGTCTCCTAAGAGCAAGGGAGATGCTGAAGGCCAAGGGCACAGATGTGAGGGGTGGGCAGTGTGCGGCCCCAGCTGAACGACAAGGGGAGAGCTGGATGTCTTCTAAGAAAATCATGAGGCAGTGTGAGCATCACTTACAGCAGGCTGAGAAAAGCCAAGAGAGCAAAAAGAAATCGAAAGCTGAAGACCCCTCCAGCATCAGAATCAACATAGATGATGATGATGAAGATTATGAAATAGATTAAGCATGAGCTTTGTTTACTGTTTAGAGAGCATTTTTCATAGTCTTGTAAGCAGAAATATACTTTGTGTTTATATATACTAGGCCATCTTTTTAAAGTGTATTTTTAGATTGTGTTTTTGTTTTTGAGAATGCAATGAAGATTTAGAGAAGTTAGGTAGGGAAGATACATAGAAAGGAAAAATAGTAAGATGTGTGGGTTTTTTTGTCATTTTAAAACTAATTTGTGTGTTATAATGACACCTAAGCAAATGATAATGCAAAATAAAATCACCATATGGCTAACTTCCTGCAAGTACAGTAGTTCATTTCCTCAAATAAAAAGTGACGATTTTCATACATGAAGCTGGCCCCAGAAGCCTGTACCATAGCCTTTTGGCAGCAAGCAATGAAAACTACTGCCTGCCTGCCTGAAGCATGAAAACACTTCTTGGAAGGATTTGGGATAGCTCACGAAATCAAAGGAAAAGCTCTAAAGGACAGGGAGCGGAAGTGCTCCAGGACCCCGGGGCAGACAGACATGATAAAGGAGAGACTCCTGGCTTCCCCCTCGGTTCCCCTCTCTGCAGAATGAACAGCCTCCTGCTGTTCTCAATGTCTGCTTCCTTCCTTTCCATAGTCACAGAGAGCTAACTGGCTCAGCTCCAGACCTTTGCATTCGGCTAACGGAGAGAAAGTCCTGTTTGACAGTCTTGCAAGACCAAAAGAAAACCAAAGAGGAAAATGTAAACTTGTTCCTTAAAGACCACTGATGACCCTGCCTTGCCCTTCCTGAAAAGAGTTATGATTCGAGTTAAATTCATTTTCCCTGAGTTAACCAAAGCCCCTGTACTGCCCTCCTTTGGATTAACTTCAGGCCTTTGACATTTGCCTGTCTGGGGATAGAGGTATGGTTAGGGAATAATTTTTTTCTATCAATACATTTGTGCATACAGATTTACTTGTGAATATATTTGAAGTCCTATCCAAATTAGTTTATTTTCCATTTAGTAGGATTTATCTGTTGCAGTACTTTGCAAAGTTTTCCATTAAAATACCCCTAATGGCAGAGAAAGTAGATAGAAGAGGTAGTAGACAGGATCTGTATGAATGAGAAAGGATTCCACTAGAAGATAGAATTTCCTGAGAACATCATGTTTTAACTTAAAATTGTATGCAGATTTTAAGTTTATGCATGTCCATATTTTCTTCCACCAAAATCTTTGCAAAATTGACACTCCTCAGAGAAGAGCCCTATTTATAAAGTGGTTTCTCATACTCTCTAGCACACTGACACACATCCCAAGAATACAGAGAAAGAATGAACTCTTATATTTACATGAATTTCCTTGTTATTATGTGGAGCTTCAACTTTTTTTAATGTGTTACACCTGCAATTCTCTGTAAGAAAAAATAATAATGGGTGGTATGTAGTAATTTATACCCACTGACATTTGCTTGTATGTTTATAATCAGAATTCCCCGGCTGTGAGGACCTTTAGAAAGACTGTAGTGTTTTATAGATGAGGGAGCTCAGCCTCATAGCAGTGAAGTAACAGGTTCACACATACAGGAAAAGGCAAGGCAAGAACTTGATGGTATTTGTGTTCATTTTTTTTTTTAAACTTCATTCCAGTAATTCTGTTGCAGTGTTCACAGCTTAGTATCTCCTACCCACACTGTTTAGAATAGTAATATTCTAGACACTTGCATCCATCTTCTGGTGCCACTATAACAAAATGCCACATGCTGGGTGACTTAAACAACAGAAATTCATTTTCTCACAGTTCCAGAGGCAAGAAGTCCAGAATCAAGGTGCCATCGGTGTTGGTTTCTGGTGAGGGCTGTCTTCCTGGCTTGCAGAAGGCAGCCTTTTGCTGTGTCCTCTCATGGCGTCTCCTTTCTGAGTGCTGTCTTTTCCTCTTTTTATAAGAATACAGCCCTACTGGCATACAGCTACAGCCTTATGACCTCATTTAACCTTAATCACTCTCATACAGGCTGTATCTCCAAATCACTGCAGGGATTAGAACTCCAACATACGAAATTTTGGGGAACAGAATTAAGTCCATAACAAATACCTATCTGTTTCTTTCTATCTAACTATCTGCCTACCTACCTACCTAAATTTCTGGTTCTTAAGTTCATTGATTAATTTATAGAAAAAGTAAAAGGAAAAAACTGGAGGGGGAAGAAAAAACAGAAGTAGTTAAATCAATTTAAAACTCCAATTATCACACATTTACACTTATATAGAGACTTTAAAAATCAGATAATTATTTATTAATCTTGGAAAGCAGCTAGAGGCCAGAATTGCAATGTAAGTCAGATAACATTAGGAAGGAAGGATAAAATACGAAAAATAAGATATTACTTTATGGCACCAGAATTCTGTGGGGACAAAGAAGGGGAAGACAAACATTCAGAGACTAGTTCTTCCTGGTACCTATCCGTGCCTCTGTTTTCTCTGCTGTAAAATGGGGATTAGAGCATTACCTTCTGTAGTTATTGCTTAATTTGATCTATATGGAAGGGAATCATTTTCCTAACACCTCCATAATTTGCAAATGTGTCCCTTTCTCCAAAAGAGACTTGCTTCAATCCCCGAATACCAGTCATGCAGTCATGGACGTGAATGGTGTCCCCTGGAGTTAGGCAGTGAACAGCATGCATCCATATTGAAGGCAGTTTTTTTTTTTTAACGTTTATTTAATAAATATAAATTTCCAAAGTACAACTTTTGGATTATAGCAACTTTTCCCCCCATAACCTCCCTCCCATCCACAATCATCCCATCACCCACTCCCTCTCCCATCCCATTCTTCATCAAGATTCATTTTCAATTATCTTTATATACAGAAGATTAACTTAGTATATACTATGTAAAGATTTCAACAGTTTGCACCCACACAGATACATAAAGTACTGTTTGAGTACTAGTTTTATAAAAGCAGTTCTTATCCCTTCCTGGACATCCCAACATTTCAAATCATGCCTGCTCAGACCTGCAAAAGTCAGAACTGAACAACTGTGTGGTCACACCTATGGGCTGCTTCCTTAGCAGTACAATGCCTGGTCCAAGCCTTTAAATTGCTCCGTGGAAGGGTTTGACTGTTCTCAGATGAAAGCAGCCTTGGGTCAGTGGGCAGGAATGTTGTTCCGCTTTGGAACCCCAGAAGGAATCACTGAAATGAATGATCTGAAAGATAGCATTGGTGCTCCTCTGTGGTCCACACACACGGTCTCAAAGTACTGCTTCGATCAGGGCTGCTATTTTCATTAAAGAGCATTCTTGGTTTCTACTCAAAATTGTTCAGAACTTATAAACTTTAAAGAGTTTCCTCACAGATTTTATAAATGTCTGTTATGCAACACACTCTGTAGCAGGAAATGCTGCAGACCTGTCTCCCCCTGAGCTAGAGCCTTTGCAAAGTGGCTCTCAAGTGTTCCCCAACTCTATCACCTGTGATTCTCCATCTCTTCTTCAGAGGGAGGAGGCTCATGGACGACTCGGGTTTAGAAAGGAAAGCTATGTTCCAGGTTGATGCTTAGGGAACTCTCCTTCCCAAGAAGTTCTTTTTTCTCTAAAGCCATTTTTACTATTTACTGTCATCAAATAACATTCTGCTGTCAAGGCTACAGCCAAAACTTCTTGTCTCTTCATTATAAAACAGCCACATGCATGTGTGTATGTGTGTGATTGTGTTGTAACTCTTTTATGTGTTAACTCTTTTATGCTTTTTACATACAGGTTATATGGGATCCGCCAGTACTGAGAAATTGAATTGTAATTATTTTTTAAAGCTTACTTTCCCATGGAACATAGTTCAGTTACATTACTCATCATTTAATTAATTAGATGTTTTACTCTGAGCTAGATTTGCTTACCCAAATAAACACACAAATCATATCATTGTTATCCACAGAAATCACCCAGAAACTCAATATTTTCTATCATATAGTCATAATTGTGTGAATGTTCAAAACTGAATTCTTGCCTTCTTATCAGTCTGAAACCTTAGGGCATGGTAAAGTGCAGTTTTGCAAGAATGAACCTTGTGGATCTGGTGTCATCCCACTAATAATAATGGATTATCTTAAAGGTTTGATTCAGGGATCCCGCACTATCTCTGGGTCCTGAGATTGCCTTTATTCCAGATGGTATTTGCTTTTGACAGGGAACAGCTGGGATGATGGATTTCCCTATATTTTTTCTCTCTAATGCAATATATTGTTTTAATATTCTCTATAGGTTTCCACAGAACACTGTTTTTAGGAATCCAATATAGAAGATTTGATTTACTAGCCTCTATTCAACTTTCAAAACAGTCACTGATGACTGCTTTTAATCCACTCTATTTTGGTTTTAGAGAAACAGTATGTAGTCAACTGATGTCATCAATTCTCTTCCCACCACAGAACTCCCCCCAACCCCCTCCCAGCCTCTCACACCCTGGATTGGATCACAATTATTCAGGCTTACAGAATTCATTTCTTACTTAGGATTTATCAACCACCTTATATTTTATTTATTTATTTTTAGTAATCACAAAAGCCGCTGAAAAGCATCTGAATAAGCAATACATTTCTAGGAATTATATGAAAATTAGTTCATGATAATGATTCATCAGAAAATGTAATGCAACTCCAAAATGGGATCCCTGTGTTAAAGGCTATGTGTACTTTTCATTTTGATCAGATAATTTTATGAAGGTTATTTTCTCCAAACACTGTATCAACTACACACTTACCAGCAGTGTTCCTAAGTTCCTGTTTCCAAGTTGTCATCAGCATTTATCTTTACTTTTGCCAATCTGATGGGTGTAAAACTAGTATTTCATTGATTTGATTTTCACTTTCCTAACTACTAGTGAAGATAAACATACTTTTATATATATGTGAGTTTTTTCATTTCCTGTTGCTTAGCTGTTCACACAGTGTTGCCCATTTAAAAAAAAAAAAAAAAACTGAGTCTTTTGTCTTTCCCAAATATCAGTTTGCAGGATTTCTGTATACCAGAAATATTATCTCTATTTTATCAGAACTATTACTACTACTTTCTCCCAAACCATCATTTTTCTTTTGACTTGGTTTATTATGTCTTTTTCTTAGAGAAAATTTTATCATTGAAGTAGTCACATCAGTCAGTCAAACACATACATAGCATACCTTATGCATACATACATATGTATACACATTCACTAGTATATTTTTAGTAT